ACGCAGAGGTTGGGCGGTAGGGGTGTTGGCGAGCCCCTCCCACGTACAGCTGGCATCTTTGTTTTTGATGTTTAGAAGATGTTGCGCTTCAGGTTCTGAAAATGTTAAACCCTTCTTGGACGCACCTGGGTTTTGCACGGTATTTACAGCGTTTTCGTACTATCCGACCACCTGCGGTTCAGCTGTTTCTTCCCCGTCGAGCTTGCAACTCCGGCTGCTGTCGCAGTTTTGGGGCCTGAGCCCTTGCAACTTCACCGGTTGTGACAGTTAAGGAAACGGAGCCCCTGCAGCTTCTGCAGCTGTCGCAGATAGGGAGCTTGAGCCCGTGCATCTTCTGCAATTGTCGCAGTTAAGGCCCCTAGCAGCTGCCGCTGCCCAGCCCGGATGGAACAAGTGTAGTTGGTAGGGGGGGGGTGGCTAGTAGTAGTAGTAATAGTTTGAAACCCAGAAGCAATAAGCCCAGAACCCTTTGAAACCAGAAGCCCTACACCGCTGTGCTAAACCCAGAATCCCTGGAACCAAAAACCACTAAACCCAGAAGCCCTGCACCCAGAAAGTTTGAAATCCTGGAGCACTAAACCTAGAACCCTTTGAAACCAGAAGCCCTCAACCGCAGTGCTAAACCCAGAAGCCCTGGAACCAAGCCCTGCACCCAGAAACTTTGAAACCCAGAAGCACTAAACCCAGAACCCTTTGAAACCAGAAGCCCTAAACCGCAGTGCCAAACCCAGAACCCCTGGAACCAAAAACCCCTAGTCCCGACACAAGCTGACGGGGTTTCAAATACATCCATCTCGGCATTACTATGTACTTCATAATTAGATGCACTTCACTCTATGACTCTATGGTTCTATGCACTGGATTCTATAACGCAAAAACTCTTCGCTAATGATGCTTTCGGGCTAATTGTGTTCTAGTTGATCTTTGTGGTTTAATTTTTCTTGAGCCTCTTTTAATTTCAACGCTACGCCGCCCGCCTCGGCTCTTTAGCGGCAGGGCGCAGCGGGTTTGAAGCAAGGGCCGAAGAGCCAGGATGCACAGGGGGGGGCAGGAAGGGGGGAGGGGGGGGAGGGGAGGTGGGGAAGAAGGGGGGCGACGGGGGCAGGAAAACGAAGAAATCAGGGAAAGCAGCTTACAAATCAGGTAAAAGGAAGGGAGGCCGGGCAAGAGGATGGGCAAACGCACGCAAAAAACGGGTGTCTCCAGACTTTCGGGCTGCAGGAAGAGGATTTGGTGGAGGGTACCTGAGGTAATCCCCAAGACGCCTGGGCCGACCCCTAACAGGCCGATCCCTCTCACAGTCGGCCCGCCGTTGCAACCTTATGGAATTGCCCCCAAAGCGACAACTGTCACGAAGATAGTGGCCCTCTGACCAATGAAGCGATAATCCTTACCAGGCACGTGGGCAGAAGACACCCGACGATGTTTGAGTCAATGATGATGATGGTGATCATCGTCCCCATCATCATCACCTTCATCACCTTCATCATCATCATCGTCATCATTATCAGCCTTGGGATGAGTATGAGTATAGACCCAGAAACGCAGGGGGGTGGTGCCAAAAGAACGCGAACCCACACCATGCCATAAGAGAGGAGGGGAACCACCCCAAGCAGACTCACCCCTACCACACCACCACAGAAAGGGGGGAAGCAACCTACACCACAGGGAGGGGGTGGGTGGGGGGGAACCATGAGGGGAGTTCTGTCGTCCGTGGCTCGTTGAACTATAGCTTCACAAAGTGGTCAGCGGAGGTGTCTCGATTGATTAAGCTAGACATCTCGCATTGAGGTTCGGCATCAGGTGTCAGGTTAAGAGCTCACGTGGCACTTGGAGGCGTTTTTGTTGAGTCGTGTGTCGTCGCGACTCTCCAGTGCATCGAAGCACGGCTTGGCACCTTTGAGCCAGTACAGCACTGTGCTTGGTTGCAGAGTATTTCGCATCGACCTCTTCGGATCTTCGGGCGTTGCCAAATACCCGATGCCTTACACACGAGCAACCATTCAACATGTAGGAGTATGCAGTCAAGCAGCTCCTGATCTTGCGGAGCCCTTGAAATCCAACCCCTCGTTGCCCACCTGGGACGCAGGTCATGGCCACCGCATCAGACGACTTCAGTGCTCCTTGGCCCTGGTTATTCGGGTTTAGGTTTGCGTGCCAGGCGTAACTTCCAACTATTGAGCATTGGCACCAGGCGCGTCTTTGGCCCGCCATGACTTCGTGTAGAACTCAGCACTGAAGGCAATAATCTGGGATTTCGCGGAGGGGATCCCTCTGAGAACGTCGCGGGGCTCAGATGAGGATTGTTCACGGGGCAGCAACATGCAAAGCTCATACTCATCAGTTTACAGCGACACGAAAGTGCTTCGTGGTTCAAATCTGCGACTGCCGAGGCTGCCGCATCCAGGTAAGCCTGTTTATGGCGTGACTTTCCTTGGAAAGGACTGACGGCATTGGTTCGCGCGTGTCTCTCTCTCTCTCTCTCTCAGAGTCTCTCTCT